TCCCTTGGGTCTGGAAAAGAAAACAAATATTTTGCAGTCATCTCAAATTGTCTTCAAAATCAAATTATAAGCTGTTATTCTCATTATGACAAAATAAAGTCTTCACTTTAACCAAAAACATGATTTCCCAGCTAATTATCTAATTAGATATACTTAGTTATAAAGATATATTTTAATCAAAATCAAATTAATCTTCAAAAGAAAAATTCTGTCACTTCTAAAGATAGTCACAAAATAAAATATAGGCTACAAAGGTGATTTCAAAGGAAGTATGAGTTTTGAGCAACAACTACTGAGCTACTATCTATAAAAATGCTACAAGTATTTACAATATTGGTCTCAAAATGCATTTAGATAGATCGCTTCTGCCACACTTAATGAAAATCAGCCCCATTATTTGATAGTTATACCTTACAATGAAAATACAGCAATGTTTTTAACTTTTTACACAAAACTTATAGATTAAAATTGTGGTGATTATATTCATGTGAAAATGGTGGGCTGGCAGTCAACTTTCCCTCCAAACTACTTCTAGGGTATACTCTTACACTGCAGAATACAGACGGTTAAAAACCCTATTCCCAGACTCCCTTACAGCTGAGGTTTCCATGTGACTGCATGAGGTTCTGGATGTGTCAATCAAGTGCGTATGCATGAAATATGGAAAGGAAAAGTGAGGTAGCAGTGATGCACAGACTGTCATTCCACCACCTGCTCACTGCTTTTGGGGGGTGTTGAAAGTCAGGACACAAACTTATTTAATCTATAGGCATAATGTATCTCTAAAGCCATCAGCTTGGAACTTGGGCTTACTGGGGACTAGAAAACAATTGGTGGGAATGGGAGATGCGGGAGGTCTTCTTAAAAACATCACAGGGTAAGAATATAGGAAGGAATCAGCCAAAACCAAGATGAAAACACAGATTTGCAAACCCAACACCCAACACCATTTCTGCCCTAAAGTCATTTGCCATTCCAGGAAAAAAGGACTATGAATATTAGCTATACTTTTGGTGGTATCAAGAAATCAAAAGCATAACCATGAAGACAGGAGGCCACCAAAAATATCAGTTTATCAAAGAACCCTGATAAACTACCCCCACTTTCAATGGGCACCATAAAGGAACGCAACCTACAGACAAGACTGAACTGGAATAAAACCAACCATTCTCTAGAACTGCAACTGGGCTGTATATTCCTTCAGGAGCTCAAGAAACCTTACACTTTGAGCTTAGATTGCTGTAGTCACAAAATACTACTGTCCATAGGCATGCAGCAGAAAAAAAATTGAAAAATCTCTGTAAGAAAGAATCCATCATCCTGGGTTTTAATTAATCAATAAAATAACAATTTTTAAAATAACTGTATATGACAGTATAATAACACGGCTCAACAGGAACTCAACAGCACAACCAAGAAACAGCACAAAAAACAGGTAATAGAAGTAGTCATAAGACGTCATATGTCAATATATCAGACACGTACTACAAAACAAATAAGCTAATTATGTTCAAAAAATAAAAGTCAAAATTGAAAATTCAAATAGGAGACAAGAAAAGATAAAAGTCAATGAATCATACTTTTAAAAGAACCAAACAGAAATTTCAGAACTGAAATATAAACAACTGAAATCAGGAACTCAATGGGTGATTAATTAATTAAATACAGCATAAGGGAAGGTAAGAAAGACAGACGAAATTTTCCAAAAAAGATGAAAAATATCAAAGAGAGCATAAGAAACATAAGAGATATATTAAGGAGGTCTAAAATGAAAGTTATAGGTTTATTCGTGTGTGTGTGTGTGTGTGTGTGTGTGTGTGTGTGTGTGTGATTGTTCCAGAAGTAATGGTGGAGAATTTCCAAAAAAATATTAAAAGACGTTAATCTACAGACAAAATATTCAATAAATTCCGTGTATACATGTATGCGAATCAGCGAAAAGTTAAAGACAATCTAAGAGAAAAACAGAAATTCATAAAGGCTACCAAAAGCAAAAAGCAATTATGTCCAAATAAGCAGAATACAGAATGAGTGGGGAAGTCTCGCCAGAAACAGTGAAATAATATTTTCAATAAATTGAAAAAAATACTAGCCAAACTAAGATTTGTAATTCTTTCTTTTTCTTTTTTTTTTCGGTACAGACAGGTTCTATGTTACCCAAACTGATCTTGAACTCCTGGGCTCAAGGGATCCTCCCACCTCAGCCTCCCAAAGCACTGGGATTACAGGGGTGAGCCACTGCACACAGCCAAGATGCCTAAGAGGAGTAAACACGCATTTCATGAACGAGGCAACATAAAGTCATTGGCTGTCAACAAAAAGAGTTTGTCACAAGTAAACCTCTAAAAGAAACTACCAGAAACAAAGTAAGACAAACAAAACATAAATATGTGGGAGGAATGGAATAAATGATGACTAAAATAATAAGAGAAATGGCCTTGAGGGATAATTGTACTCAAGTCAGGAGACAGTAAACAGATTTTAAATGTTCTAAGCTCCCTTGTACAGTCTGGTAGCTCAGGTGAAAACATACTGTTATCAGATTTTGATAAATTAAGGATGTATGTTGTAATGTAGAGGTTCTACCAAAAGATCAGAAGTATTTATAATCCCCAAACTTGTACAGGAAAAAAATTAAATGATAAATACTGCAAAAGAAAGAAAAAAAGGAAGAAGACCAGAGATTGTACAAGAAGAAAATATTTTTTAAAATTAGAAATTTAAACTCAAATATACCAGCATTTCTGTTAACTTTCTAAGGAGCAAATGGTCAAGACACAAGACGAAGATATCAAACTGGGCTGAAAAATTACACACTGCTTACAGAGGCACATGTGAACTGTCTTCATACAGGTAGGTCGAGAGTAAAAGGATGAAGAAAGCCACAGCATGCGAAAGATAACCATCAGGAAAGAGGTAGAAATCCACCTGGAGCCCAGACCATCAGCTTCCCGACTGCTGGGGAGCGGCAGGGCCACCGCGGAACTCACCTCAAAATTCAAGGACACAAGGTCTGTCTACCACTAGGGCACAGGGAACAGAAAACAGCCCTCCTGCACCCACGGAAGGGCTAACCAGGGCCCACGGGAGTCTCCCTCTGGGAAAGACGCACAGGCATAAAGACACAGCTCCCATGAAGCACAGGGTCAGAGGCAAGCCCTCAAACTCAGGATGAAGCAGGCATGCAGAAACCCCACAAGCAGCCCCTTGGTGCACATGTGAAAACCACAGCAGGAATGCTTTCAGCTCGACCCAGCTCATGCCTGCGGTGATTCAACACGCCCTGCCACCCACCCCGTCCCCCAAAGGCCTAACAGAAGAAGAGCTGACACTGTTTTTAGGCATAAGTATGCCTTTCTCAGTCTCTCCTGTCCTACTCCACCCCTTAGTCATCAGCCCATAATTCCCCCACTCGCCCACCCCAGTCCTAGGCAAGCACTAATCTATTTACCTCTGTAGGCCACATGTGTTGTTTGAATGGTGTACTGCACTGAAGAGTGTCCTGTCAAAATTCACATCCACCTACAACCTGTGACCATGACCTTACTTGGAAACAGGAGTTTGGCAGAGGTAATCACATCATGATGAGGCCGTACTAAATAGGAAGGGTCCTGAATCCAACGTGACTAGTGTCCCTATAGAGAACCGGAACTCTGGACACAGAGATGCACAGGGAGCAGGCAACATGACATCTGAGGCAGGGATCAGAGTTATGCTGCCAAAGCCAAGGAACACCAAGGACTGTCAGCAACACCAGAACCAGGAGAGAGGCATGGAGTGGATTCTCCCTCCAACCCCCCAGGAAGGAACTCACTCGGCTGGAACCTGCATGATAGACTCTGGCCTCCTGAAGTGTAAGAGAACAAATTTCTGTTGTATTAAGCTACAGTTTATGATCATTTGTTATGGTAGTCCTAGCAAACCAACACAAATTTCATAAAACTAGAAATAAACTATCTATAGAAATCTAATAGATAAAGAAATAGTGGCATTTTCTTAGAAAACGTATCATACAGGAGTTCCATGAAATAGCATGAATCTCACAAATACTATGCTGAAAAAAGAAGCCAGCCAGGCACAGAAGAATAAATACTATACAATCCCATTAATATAAAGTTTTAAAAAACAAACAAAAGCAATAATGCTGCTTAGGTATGTATAATTCAAAGGAAGAATGATATGAAAACTGAAGGTTCTGAGAAGTCAGACAGGAGACAGCTCTAGGGAAGATGGAGGGGGAATCAGAATCATTGAGAAGGGGAAGAAAATGAGGTTGGTGTAAAAAGAGCTGGCTGTTTTGTAAATACCTCTAGATCCAGTTGATGTTTACATCGATTTTTGCCTTATAATAATACGTTCAATTATACACCTGTGTTCTATGTATGTTTCTGTAGAGTTCACAATTTAAACAAAAGAAAAAAGGGAAGAAGGAAGGAAATAAAGCCACCAGTTACAACGCCAGTAGTTTCCTGAGATTTGGTTAGAACTAAGGAATATGTCCCCCAAAGCCAACAGTTCCAAGAGCAGCCACTTGATTCTCAACCTCCTCACTGTGGCAGAGGTGCCGGTTCCTCTGGGAGCCTGGCTGGGTGGTACAGCAGTGGGGGTCACTCCGGAAGTTCATTCTGGGTACCCTTCCTTCCTCCATCCTTCCAAAGATTTTGTAATCACTGAATCACTTCCTATTTATAATAGCTAGAGTAATTTCTCTTAACAGTACATACACACTGACAAATACAATTCATCTAGAAAGGTTCAAGAAAAAAACAAAGTGGTATTTCCAACATAAAGTATTAACAGTGACAAAGCAGAGGTCTAGATACTGAACTTTAGAGGGATACTTATCCGTCATTCCTAACAGATGTCTTAGCACAAGCATAAAAACTAAATATTTAACACTTTACGGAGTTAATTTTTTAACTTTTACAAAACAAAAAGGGGTGGAGAAGGAAGGGTAAAGTACAGAAGCATGGAGAGGAATAAAAAACAGTTGTTGTTACCTGAAGTCTTGTATTCATTTCCAAGAAATAAAAATTCTTCTTAGAGTCCACAAGGAACTCTACGGTCCCAGCAGAGGAATATTTTACTGCTCTGGCAAGAGCTACAGCTTGTTCTCCCATTGCTCTTCGAGTCTCCGCATCCAAAAAAATGCTACATATATAGAAAAAGTGTTTGTTTACATTTTGGACAAAAATCAAGTTATCTTTTGTGTGCATTACATAAACATTTTCTTAAAGTTTACTCAGAAATAGATCATGTATATCAATTTAAGAATTCAAAATATGATGCTTTATATACGTTTTATAATATATGTTGACTATATTATTAAGCATAACATGCTTAAATAAGTCAACTTTGGATTTGTATAAAACTAACATTTGAACTTTTCACATTACTCTGCAACTTCAATCCATTTACAAAGTATAGCTTGACTTGCCTGCCTGAAGGTGGGTTTGGTATCTTGAAGCCAAACATGCAGGATTTGGTGGATATATTGCTGATTCTTGTTATCTCTTCAACTTCTAATATTTAACATATCTACATATATATTCAGAATTGCTTGGAGCCAAAAACTGGGAGAAAAATAACTTCTTAGAAACTAACATACACAATCAATCCTCATTGCTCATAGAGTCCATATTTACAAATGTGCCTACTTGCTGAAATTTATTTGTAACCCCAAAATCAATACTTAAGGCACTTTCATGGTCCTTTGTGAACAAGTGCAGAGAGGTGAAAAATCTGAGACTCCAGCATGCTAAGGCTGAACAAGGTGATGCTCTCCCTTCCTGTTTCAATGCTCATACTATAACAAGCGTCCTTTTCAAGGTCTAGTTAGTGTCACTTTTTTTGCATTTATGTGTGTTTGTGTGTGTGTGTGTCATTTCACTGCGTGAAATGGCCCTCCAAGCATTGTGCTTAGGTGCTGTCTGGGGTTTCCATGTGCAAGAAGGCCAAGAAATACTGTCTGGAGAAAATGTGTGTGGAATAAGCTTCACTCAGGCATGTGTTAGAGTCTTGTTGGCCAGGATTGTGAGTTCACTGTTAATGAATCAACCACAGATATTAAATAAGAAATACACATAGAACAAAATTATGTGTTAATCCACTGAGGAAAATGTTATGAGCAAAGGCTCACAGGAACCTAACACTGTATTTCCCCTGGGGCAATTATTCAGTGTACACTAATTCAGTAACCAAGGTGACTTTGGAGAACATAGCCGCCACGAATAACAAGAATCAGCAATATATCCACTAAATCCTGCATGTTTGGCTTCAGGATACCAAACCCACCTTCAGGCAGGCAAGTTAAGCTAAAATGATTTCAACAAACCCTGAAAAAATATCATCAAACCACTTCGGCATTTTCACAGATTTTGCTTCTATGAAAGAAAGACTCTGAGAAACAAAACTTAACTACTTTTCTACTTGTGGGTTAAAATTATTCTCAAATGAGCAGGACTGAGACAACATGCTAGAAAAGCTTTATTATGGAATAGTATAATAAACTTGCATGAACCTGCCTCCGATATATAGTAATTATTAATCCACAGCCACTCTGGCTTTATCTGTGCTACATGCCCACTTCTCTACCAGGCCCACCCTTTATTGTTTTTAAAGTGAATCTCAAATTAGGTATCATTTCACTTGTAAAAACATACCTATCTGTTTCTATGAGATAAAGTACTCTTTTGTAACACAACTATACAAAAAACAAGAACTTCTTAAAAACATTTAATATCCACTTCTTAAAAGCATTTAATATCCACTTGGTATTCAAATTTCTCTGTCTCATAAATACCTTTATACAGTTGATTTCTTTGAATCAGGATCCAAATAAGGTCCAAAACTGCATTTGATTGGTTTTTGTATCTTAAGACTCTTTTAACCCAGAATGCCCCCTTCCCCATTTTCTGGCCAAGGATCTGGTCATTTTACTGTCTCATTCCTCCCATTCTTGGTTCAACTGCATGCAACTCCACGGTGTCTTTTAACACTCACATTACATTTCTATTTCATATAGATTGCTAGTTAGACTCAGAGCCTTGAATATATTCAAGTTGGCCTGGGGTGGGGGAGGGGGAACAGTTCACAGGTGGGAAGTGTACTTCCTACTGTCTCCCTTTTGGTGACGTTAGAATAAAACAATGGGTTTAAGTGTTTTGAATCTTATCGATAATACAGTTTGCATTAAGCTAATGTATAGACATAGATGACATTTCAATAATTGGCTGACAAAACTAATGCAACTAAAAAAAAAAACCAACTAACAATTAATATCACAACATTTGGAGAATCTCAGTGCAGTTGAGTGAAACTCTCTTTCTCCTATTTGATCTTGCCCTTGTCCTTTTCAAAAGCCCTGCTAGATACCCAGAGATATGAATGACCCTAGCTAGCATTGCCCTCAAAGCACATTAGTAGATTCTTTTTTTTTTTAATTAATTTTTTTTTTTTTTTTTTTTTGAGACAGGGTCTTGCTCTCTCACCCAGCCTGGAATCCAGTAGCATGATCTCGACTCACTGCAACCTCGACCTCTGGGTTTAAGCAATCCTCCCACCTCAGCCTCCTAAGTAGCTGGAACTATAGGCATATACCACAACAGTCAGCTAATTTTTTACTTTTTTGTAAAGACGAGGTCCCACTATGTCGCCCAGGTTGGTCTCAAAGTCTTAGGCTCAAGCAATCCTCCCACCTCAGCCTCCCAAAGTGCTAAGATTACAGGCGTGAGCCACCGTGCCCAGGCAATTCTTACTCTAGGAACTGAAAACTGCACATTCCATTTATTTTAACATTTCACAGTGTACAAATACGTATCAAGTCAGTATTAATGATTAGTTCTAGTTTTTTCATTTTGATTCCTACTGCTGTAAATTTTCCTTTTTTTCTCTAAATAAGTAGATATGGTATTCATTATGAGAAGTTTACATTTCTAGACAAAGAGAAAAAACAAACAGATTTTATGATTCAAAGTTCCCAGTCTGGGAAAGATTTCTATCCCAGGTAAGACTTGAGTAGATTTTGACTAAAAACAGAATGTTAATTGAATTGGAATTGATAATGCAGTCAATGAAACAGAAAATTACAAGACAAGTGTGTTGAAGACTCTTACTGTTCTACCGGTATCCTTTTTCGCCTTCTTCCATACTACAGTATTACAGTACTACAGAATTAGTTCTAGCTCAGCACACGGTTTCTTAAGAAAAAGATATTTATAAGTCTCCCTAGCTAAGTGTCTCACTTCAGATTAACACCAAGTAATTAGCTTCGGCATCTTCCAGGATCTTCCTAAAGACACAGGAAGAGGATTCCCTTTGGCTTTTCTTCTTCCTCCCTTCTTACATCCTGGTCCTGGGCCTTGAGAACTAGATGGCCACATCTTATGTAAGCTACACAGTTCTTCACAGCATACTGGCTGGCGTGTAAGCACAAGCAGCCCATGAGAACAGGAAGTGGACGCTGGCAGTTTCCCAAGGCCTGGGCTGGAAACTGGCATAGCATCACTTCTAGGAAGTCTATGGGTCAAGCATTCACAGAGCACAGAATCAAGAAAAGGGAACACTGATCCTTCCCCTCACTGCTCAAAGAGAAAAATGTCAAAGGATTTGGGGTCCATGCTTTAAAACTAATACACCATGCTATATTTTTAAAAACCAACATAACTAAAATAGAGTTTAATTTTTACCATTACTCTGGGATTAAAAATACACTCACATTCTCACTATTTTCAGAAACTATATAGGCATTATATCAAGATATGCTAGCTCGGCTGATTAAAGCTACAATAAGCTATATTTCTTAGTGTCTGGTAATTTAAAATTACTAGGAACACTCACCTGAGGATTTTTAAGAACAAAGAGAATACCAAAGTATATCTAAATAGCAAACTAGCATCAAATTAGAAATGAGGCTCCAGGCCGGGCGCGGTGGCTCAAGCCTGTAATCCCAGCACTTTGGGAGGCCGAGACAGGTGGATCACGAGGTCAGGAGATCGAGACCATCCTGGCTAACACGGTGAAACCCCGTCTCTACTAAAAAATACAAAAAACTAGCCGGGCGAGGTGGCGGGCGCCTGTAGTCCCAGCTACTCGGGAGGCTGAGGCAGGAGAATGGTGTAAACCCGGGAGGCAGAGCATGCAGTGAGCTGAGATCCGGCCACTGCACTCCAGCCGGGGCGACAGAGCTAGACTCCGTCTCACAAAAAAAAAAAAAAAAAAAAAAAAGGAAAGAAATGAGGCTCCATACACCAAACTCATGAAAGGTGCCCTGGAGAAGTACCCAAAGTGGCTCTGATAATTCAGGGAATTTCTAAGAACCACACTCCAAAAGCCTTTCATGGTAGGATAAATTCAGGACCAACTTTATGAACCCTTCACCAACATGAAAGTCTAGAAGACATATATCTCAGAAATCCCGTGAAATACCATCAGGTTCCATACTTCCTAGAAGCCTGCCAAAGGCATAGCTGGTTGTCTACCCAACTTCTCCTCTAATAAAAACCCATTTCTTTTTCAAGTATTCTCTCATTTTTATACATTAAAGCACTGAAGAAATCAAGTAACAAATTCTTAATTATAAAAATATGCAGTAAGAGAGTCCACATGAACATTAGTGCAATTGTAGCCAATAAAGCAAACAAATACAAAAAGAAATGTGGCTGGGTGCAGGGGCTCACACCTATAATCCCAGCACTTTGGGAGGCTGAGGTGGGCTAATCTCTTGAGGCCAGGAGTTCAAGGCCAGCATGAGCAACACGGCAAAACCCCATCTCAACAAAAAATACAAAAATTAGCTGGGCATGGCGGCACTCGCCTGTAGTCCCAGCTACATGGGAGGCTGAGTTGGGAGGATCACTTGAGCCTGGGAGGTGGAGGCTGCAGTGAGCTGTGATTGCACCACTGCACGTTAGCCTGGGCAACAGAGTGAGACCCTGTCTCTGAATGAATGAATGAGTGAATGAATGAAATGCATAAAAGCAGTCGCTTTATAAACGTTCCCTGGGAGAGACTTACCTTGGTGCTTCCTCCACCACCTTCTGATTTCTTCTCTGAATTGAGCACTCTCTTTCATTAAGCCACAAAGCATTCCCATGTTTATCACCTAGAACCTGAAAGAGCAATACCATTTGAAAAGCCATATAACCACACCCACAAGGTAGATGATGATTAATATTTTCGCCATGCAACATCTCTTGGTTTTTAATACTCAAACCTCATAGTATATACATACCTCTCAAAACATTATTTTGATTCATGTTAATAGAGGAAAACTTTATTATTCCAAAGCTCAATAAAACATTTTTATCAAAAAGATTTGAGGAAAAAGTGTTCATATCACCTTTCAAATACAATGAGTAAAATATCAGAATCAGTTGTACAAATTTTGTGAAGGACGCTGAGTGTTAGTGAAGGGGATAAACACTGGATGTCAATGTTGCTGAGGACTGCCACCACAGCTTTATTACAAACATCTGCTTGAAGTTAACATTATTAAATGTCTGTTGATTGGGAAATGACACTGTATGCATTTACATCCAATACGTAATCTGTTATTTATCTATGGATGTCTTTACTGTGGTTTATTTTTGTTCTAGGAAACTGGTAAAAGGTCTGGAGTTAATATACAACACATTATAGTTTTTCCCATTTGCGATACTCGTTGAACATCTCTAACCTGAAAATCTGAAATCCAAAATGCTCCAAAAGCTGAAATTTTTTGACATGATGCTCAAAGTAAATGGTCACTGGAGCATTTTGAATTTTTAGATTAGGGATATCCAACCAGCAGGTATAAATGCAAATATTCCAAAACCCAAAAAATTCTGAAATCTGAAACACTTCTGGTCCCAAGCATTTCAGTTAAGAGATATATTCAACCTGTAATGGAAAATAAGCTGAGATTGCCAGATAAAATACAAGATATCCAGCTACATTTGAATTTCAGACAAACAATGAATAATTTTTTTCTAGCTATGTCCTAAGTACTACATGGAACAATGATTTAAAAATATCATTGTTGATCTGAAATTCAAATTTAATATGTATCTTTTTCAGCTAAATTCAGAAACTCAAAAGCAGCTCTTTATTAAAGTTTTTGCCTAGAACATCTGATTTTCAGAAATGGACCAATCTATTTTCAGATTTAAGAAGCTGATCTATACTTCCAAATACATATATTAGATTTACAGAGGTAAGATTTGTTTTAGAAGCCGAAAGGCCAGGCACTAATTTTAGTTCCAAACAGCTATGCAACTTCTTTGGACAAGTCATTCTGTTTCTTCACGCATTATAAACAGCAGATAGTATCAGTCTTAATATTTTATATGGCTGCTGAAAAAAAACAAATAAATAAATATTATGGTTATAATTGGTAAAATGTAAAATAAATAGTTAATATATGACTGTAAAGTTAATTTTTAGGAACAAACCCTTTCTGAAACTCAAGAATGATTCCAAGCAATGAAGGAAAACATAAAGCAATAAAATGCCAATAAGTTGGAATCTTCTAAGACTCAAAGGTGGCTGCATGAAGTAAATCTAAACATATCTGAAATCATTAAAATAACTCTCAACCTCTTTTTAAATTCTAGTTGACAAGAAAGTAAAAGTAGACAGTCTCCATGCAATAAAGCCAAAATAACCATGAATTCTCAGAAATACTTCCAACTATAAAATATCAGATTCATATACAGAATCAAGAGTTTGTTGTTCTCTAAATTCTGTATAGTCTCCCAGTTCATTTTTTAAAAATTCTGTGCACTTACTAGGCATTCAACAAAAATGATTTGGTGATTATTTATTCCATTAAATAAATGAGGAAGCCACGTAATCAGAAAACATTATAAATAAATACTGCTTTTAAGAGCAGTTAATCCTTAAATGCATCATGAGTTTTTTAAAAAAATTTATAGGTTTACACATACTGAATGTAGAAAAATCTCTAAGTTATACTGCTTCCTGAAAAAGCTTTATTATAATAGACTATGTCACATAATGCAAGCCCGTTGGTATCCCTATACCCAACCCAGTAAATGCCAGTAGTGCCCTGGTTGAGAAATACTGGTTTACGCCACAAAGAGAGGTGCCATTCACGCTGCCAGTGCAGTTTCATTGTGGAAAGGACATAGTATATAATGGCTTATGTGAAAAAAAATAGGTGACACACACATATATATACTTCATAGACTATGTACAGAGGAATAGCCAAGAAACAGTAACAGTGCCTGCATTTAGGGACAGAAACTAGAGGACTTAGAAATAGAGTAAAAGGGATGCTTACTTTTTATTGATTACCCTTTATCATGTGCAGAAATTACCTAATACAAATAAATAAGTGAAAACTAAAGAAAAGTAAACTAAAAACCCTTCCAAGTATAGATCAGATATGAGAACATCTGTGTTGCCTACTTAAGTTACTGGGAGGCATTTTCACCTATGTTTGAAAGTATCACCCAGGCTGTATGCTATGGCTAAATAAAATAAACTAAAAAGCTGATCTAGATATGTAATTACTTAACACAAAATAACAAACATTTATTGAGTATTAGTAAAGTGAAAGACAATGGTCTGGTTGCTGGGGACAGCAAATGACTAAGACCTACTCTCTATGCTCAAGGACCTCATGGCCTATTAGGAAATTCAACTAGTTAAAGATAAAACAGCCTACCTAAGTGGTCTTCCAGTAGTGTGAACAAGTGCTAGATGGGGAATACAGTGAAAGACAAAATTAATTCTGCCCCTAGGATCTTACAAGAAGGACAATCTAAGTATCTCCCTTAAATTACAGATTTAAAGAGCCAAGTGTCTACTCAACACCTACACTTAGATATCTAATGGGCATTTCAACCTTGATTTGTTCAACTTTATAACCAGATTTCCTCCCTCAGAAACAAGCACATCTCACAGTCTTTCCTATCTCAGTAAAAGGCCATTCCATTCTTCTTATTTCTCAGGCCAAAACCCTAAAATCACCTTATTTTTTTTTTTTTTCTTGTACATAACATCCATCTATTAGAAAATCTGGTCTACCTTCACAAAATACCCAGAATTCAATCACATCTTACCACTTCCACTGCCAACCCTATGGCCCAAACCACCATCATTTTCTCAGCCAAATTACGACAGCAAGAACCTCAAAAGGGATCTCTCGGCTTTCATGCTGAGTCTCAATTGCTAAGAACCAATGACTACTGTGTGCCTCCCTTTCTTAACTGTGTCAAATAGGGGTATTTATTGGAGTGTCATATCCTTTTCTCATCACTGCACACTGGATGAATGAATATGAGACTTTAAATTCAGGTATTTGCACCAGAAGAACTGTTCTTGAAGGACCATACATAAGAAGTCTCAGGCTGGGCACAGTGGCTCATGCCTGTAATCTCACTACTTTAGAAGGCTGAGGTGGGTGGATCATTTGAGGTCAGGAGTTTGAGACCAGCCTGGCCAACGTGATGAAATCCCACCTCTACTAAAAATACAAAAATTAGCTGGGCATGATAGCACAAGCCTGTAATTCCAGCTACTCAGGAGACTGAGGCAGGAGAATCACTTGAACCTGGGAGGCAGAAGTTGCAGTGAGCCAAAATTGCGCCACAGCACTCCAGCCTTGGCGACAGAGCGAGACTCCGTAAAAAAAAAAAAAAAGTCGCATCCAGACCTGGACCAAGTTGGAAAGGAAGTTGCATGTATTCTGTTTATGACAGGGCATGATCATTGAGGGCCAAAGAATGGGTTGTGGTAGGTAGTATCCAAAGATGACTCCATGTACAACACAAATCCTGGTAGTCCCACCCTTATATAATCCCATCCAGCAATGATTCTAGACTGGGAAGGAACTTTGCAAATGCAACAAAAGTCATTTTGTGCCAGTTCTGAGCCTAAACTTTCAAAGGGTAGGACAGTGATTTCAAGCAGCTCTGACCAGTGACAAGAATTCTGGATATCCTTGTAGAAATGCTACATGGAGAAGACATGTACAGATACCCCAAGACTTCACAGAGAGAAAGACAGAGGCCCCACTGCCCACCAAAGTGTCTCAGCTGAGCTCAGGCTTTACACCATCCTTCCAGGGCACCTAACACGGGACACTCAGTCAAGTCACAGTATAACGACTGCCCCAGAGAACAATGTGTGATGCAAAAGCACTGGCAGCTGAACCCAAGTAACCCAGAGAATCATGAGGAATCGTTAAATGTTGTGGTGTGCTTTGTGGGAAAACATACTATAACAAAAAATTGACCATTTTAACCATTTTTAAGGGTACAGTTCGGTGATCTTAAGTATATTCAAATTCTTGCATAGCCTTAAATGTTGTTTTAAATCACCACATTTGGGGTGGCTTGTCACTGAGCAAAAGGTCATCAAAATACACAAAATAAACAAGTGGATTTACCAAAGATACCAGATCCGAAATAATATTTATAATAGAAAATAACGTTTATAACAGTATCTAAAATTATAACAGTATTTAAGCTATACTGCTTCCTGAAAAAGCTTTATTATAATAGACTATGCCACATAACGCAAGCCTCAAATATCTAAGAATAAATCTAATGAAAGATACACAAAACCTCTACACTCAAAAATACAAAACAGTGCTGAAAGGAATTAACAAGACCTAAATAATGGAAGAGATATTCCAGTTCATGGATCCATGAAAATTCAACTTTGTAGGCTGGGCACGGTGGCTCATGCCTGGAATCCCAGCATTTTGGAAGGCCGAGGCAGGCAGATCACTTGAGCCCAGGAGTTCGAGACCAGCTGGGCAACAAGACAAAACCCCGTTTCTACAAAAAAAAGCAAAAAGTAGCTGGGTGTGGTAGCACACGTCTACAGTCCCAGCTACTGGGGAGGCTGAGGGGGAAGGATTGATTGAGCCTGGGAGGCCAAGTCTGTAGTGAGCCATGATTACACCACTGCACCCCAGCCTGGGAGACAGAGAGAGAGAGAGAGAGAGAGAGAGAGAGAGAGAGAAAAGAAGGAAGGAATGAAGGGAGGGAGAGGGAGAGAGAGAGGGAGAGAGATAGAAAGAAAGAAAAGAAAGGAAAGAAGGAAGGAAGGAAGGAAGGAAGGAAGGAAGGAAGGAAGGAAGGAA